GGGGAGATATGAGGCTTGAATTGTTGTACTAGAATATGAGTAGGGGCTGTGTACAGTATGGCTGGTGTGTGAGATAATGCAGTGGAACATGTTAAGGGATTGATGGGTGTTTGGAGTGCTGGACGAGGTGCAATACTGTGTTGTTTACTAGGATTGGCCAGAGAGGGAGCAGGGGAGTGGGATATTTCTCTAGAACCCTATCTGGGGTGGGTTGCTGTGGTAGAACATGACTGAGTTTGCCTTGTTGATGGTTGTGTTCTTCATTGTCAGAAAGAGAAGCTTGTGAAAAATGTCCCGCTCTCAAATCTTCTACTGGAAACAGATTCACCAGCACTGGCTGCTGAAAAACAGGTACTCATATTGTCTCATTAATGTTTTAGATATGAATGTTGCTCAACCAGTATCACTTGCTTAGACCTGTCACCCAAAATAAAGTAAGTTGTCAACCCTGGCATTTTACTTTGATCTACCTTTCATTGTCGCAACTAAAAGAAAGGTGTATGGTGCATACTCAAACAACAACAACAACAAAAACAACAACAACAATAACAACAACAACTTTATTGATGTGTTTAGATAAAATAGCACAGGGTGAAATCCTCTACTCATTGAGGACGCCTAAAAGTTAACTTGAAGGAACTATTTTCAGCATTAAAAGTTAAAATTAAGGATCTATTTACAGCTGTTAAAAACATAAACTCTTATATTACAAATCATCAGATTAAGAGCAAAGAAATCATAACTGGGATTCGTACTGGTTTGGATACCTGATCTTGTTACAGATTTTTACAATTTTATTTCTCTGTTTAAGCCTTAGGGTTAGATTTGATTGGAAGCATATACCAAACACTTTACACAGCATATTGATCAAATTCACTCAAACCTCTAATTATTTTGTTCAGGGCACTCCATACTGTGTCTTTTCAACCCTCTCTGAATGTTTAACAATGTCACAATGCAGTGTCTCTCATGTTTGACATATTGCTTTGTAAATAATTTATTTTTTGTTTTTTGGTAGACAAGGAATGAACCTAAGAACATCTACATTTCGTGCGAGGCAATCTCAAGGATCAAAGGAATTCCTATGCAGACAGTTTATGAAGAAACCACAAAAAATGCTCTGAAGTTGTTTCCCAAACTCCACAGATTTATTAGGAAGTGATTTAATGAGCAATCCAGATTGAATTAACAAAATTAACAAAATTATTTAATATGGTGAGTGGAATGTTGCCTGTGAACAGGCTTCAGCTTGAAGGGTCTGACAGTGGCTGGAAGGGTCTGACAGCGACTGGAAGGGTCTGACAGCAGCTGGAAGGGTCTGACAGCGGCTTGAAGGGTCTGACAGTGGCTGGAAGGGTCTGAAAGGGAGTGGAAGGGTCTGACCACGGCTGGAAGGGTCGGACAGTGGCTGGAAGGGCCGAGAAAGAACTGGCTGAGAGTGGAGTGGAATGGGATTTAGGGAGTGATCAACAAGTAATTTTAAAATTGCCAACATCATACAGCAATGACAATATTATTATTTAAGAAATAGAAAACATGTACCATGTTTCTATCGAGTTTCAGTATAAATCTACTCGTGTACTATCACGAATGGCATTCTCTGATTGGCTAAGTTACTCACTATCTATTCTGTGATAGATAGTGAGTAGTGCAGCAGTGTGCTCTTGTTAACAAAATGACGGCTGCTTCTTGGTATTTCTGAGGTGTCTGTGAAGAGGATTTAGATAAATTTTTGAACAACCAGTGGCCATTTTGGTGTCCTTACAGGAATGTGGATTTTTCAGCCTAGAATCATGCACAGGGCAACCAACTCTGGAAAGCCACAGGTCAAAATTAGGCTTGCATTCCACTTTGTCGAATGCAACAATTAGATTATTCACTCTCAACTTCTATGTGTGATAGTTGACTCGGGCTATGCCCTTGTTAACTATCATGTGATAGAAATCTCTAGCTCATAATCTAATTGTTTAATAGAAACACAAGTAGAAGTTTGGGAGAACAACACATGCTGTGGAAAACGAGCCAACAGGTGAGTGTTTCCACAGCTTTTTATGAGTTCTCCCAAACTTTCAGGAGTGTTTCTATAACTCCATAGAAACATGAAGTATGTGTTTTCTATTTCTTTTAGAAAATTCTGCAACAAAAAAAGAGAAAACCTGTTTATTTTGATCATCAAAATGTAAATTCGTTTTTCTTGCGCCATCATTATGTCAACAGCTTGTGCTACTTCGTGTTTCTATCAAGTTCCAGAAAACACAATTTTAAACCAATCAGTGCACATATTTTCCTTGGGCTATTTTCTAAAAGAAATTACAAGTATGTTTACTCCCTGAATTGTTTTATTAAAGTACCAGTTACCAATTAATCACTCAGTATGAAAATGTGAGGCAAATTCAATGTGAACCTCTCAGCAAAACAAAACCCACTGGGGTGGACTCAGGATTTTAGAGAATGGGGTTTGGGACATGGACTGCTGAAGGCAGTGCCCTGCAGGGGGGTTTGTGGGCATCCTACCCTGGAAAATGTTTAGAAATGATCTCCTCAGAAATGGGATTTCTGGCATTCTGAGGCCAAGTCAACATGCTACAATGCCTCATTTTTTTTAATTTAAGGGGTTCAACTGAAGTCCGGAACACCCCTAGGTCCCCCCAGACCCGGTAATGTATTCCATCAGTTTTACAAACCCTCAGTAAAAAGTAAGATAGGTATTTAATTTTTATGAGGGAGCAAAGCAATTGAGTAAAATATTGTTTTAAACACAAATTTTATATTTGTGTGGTAACAACAATATTTTGTCACTCACTTTGCTAATGCATAAAATATTGTTTTTAACACAAGAAAATAAAATTCATATATTTTCAAGCCACCATGTAATTTTCTTTTTATTTTATAGGTAAAGTGACTGTTTGTTTAAAGAACCTTGAAAACATGTCACCAATATTCTCACTAATGAGGATATGGAAAATTTGTCACTTAGATCCCAGATGTAGTTTCGTATGAATTTTACGAATGGTGTATCTTCCAGTAACCTGTGAGTTTTATGAGTGGTAAATTTTCCAGTAAAGCACTTGTGTCTATATAATAAAGTCAGTACATTGTACATTTAATTGGCGCATGTTGAGTGCAGATGTCTACTCACTAATACTGGTATGCAGAATTGAGAGTTTTTTTTGTTGATGTTCATTAAAAAGTTATGGGTTGAAGAGATTGTGTAATAGAATGCTCACTTGCCACCAAAACTTATGTGATCTGGGTTTGATTCCAGCTTTGGGTGCCATATGTGGGTTGAGTTTTTTGTTGCATTGAAAAGATTGCATTGAAAATTTAGTGAGTTGAAAAATTTATCAAAATTAAAAATGATACAACATTCTGGACTTGTATTCAGGAGTCCTCACAATCCTTCTTTCCTACACAGGGCTGTCATTAAGGGCTGTAACCCGTAACGCCTGTTAAGGCTGAGTATGCTTGATTTTCCCTTGATGCTATGGGTGAAATTGCCTGTTGTTGATAGAATTCAACCACAAAGTGACAAGTTTGCTACCAGTGTGGAGAATGAGGCTACAGGTGACTCAAAACGTAATGACAGCCTTCTACACACCAACTCTCAGCCTGGTTCACACTAGCGACACATTAGTGTGGTAGGCAAGTGAAATTTAACTCAGTAGACCTGTGAGTCTGATTGAAGATTTCAGCTCGATAAATGATAATTGCAGTCAGAAGCTATTTCAAAACTTAAGACTATAAGATAAGTTAATCATTGAGTTGAAAGCATGGATTAATTAGAGTCTAGTTAGGAATCCAAGCATACTTTTTTTACGTTTGTCCTCCAATTGCCATACTGGCCGCCATGTTGGCAAGTAATGTTTAAGTGGGGGTAAGTGAAAACTGAAATTTTCTAGCCCCAATCATTTTTCCTGCTCTGAACCTGCTAACTTGAACATCCAAATCAAAAACAGTCAGGCTTTACTGGTCAATAAGTTCCTTTGTTTTCAATTGGTGGCTTTCATATTCTTTTGCCCTGGAGCATATTAGGTTTTATGCCATGTGACCATCAGATGGAAAGGGCCTATTCATCAGTATGAGTTATTATGCAACCATTCTATGCTGTTACCCCTTTCTCTTCTGTAAGAACGGGAATGAGCAGGCAAGTTATTTACTACATCAACAAGCTATTTACTGCCTCAAGCAGTTCATTTAATTACACATGGTCGAGAGAAAGACGCACAGACGACAGTGTCTTTCCCAGTGACACAGCATGAGAAAGTTGGCTTGGGCTTTAACCTAGACACCTGGGTGCAGAGTCCACCACCCCAACCATGAGGGTACGGGAACTGCATGCTTCACATGATAATGACTTGTTATGGTTTGAATACACAGCATTATCAATGGCTTTGCACTTTCACTCAAAGAAGAACACAAGCACTTCTTGATGAAAGTGCTCATGCCGTTACACAAGGTCAAAGCACTGAG